AGCAGCCCAAGGCACTGAAGGTCCCCAGAGAGAACAGGGGACAAGATCACAGCAGCCCAAGGCACTGAAGGTCCCCAGAGAGAACAGGGGACAAGATCACAGCAGCCCAAGGCACTGAAGGTCCCCAGAGAGCAGGGAACAAGATCATAGGTTAATATAAGGTTGGGCACATGTCTGTCCAGAGAATAGAAGAAATCAACCACGATTCAGACCTTAAAAGCAGGGGAAGGAGAGTCCTGCTGGTCTTCTTGGAGGGCAGAGGACATGTCCTGGGCATAGCTGCCCTACCCTGCTGCTGGGAGAACCTGGAGCTTGGGCCATGTGGGCAGAGCTGACGGATAGGCATTAAACCACTGGGAGAATTTCTTATAATTTTAGGTGTTTTCCTCTAAGGTAACACTAAAATTTTATCCCAAAGGGAGACAGAAAAGTATCTCCTGGCTGTTCTTAAATGGTACTAAAATGAAGCCAGACCCTGAGAGCCATTCCAAGACCATTGTTTCTTGAGTGTTCTGGGAAACACCGAATATATGCCTTCACTTGTGCTCTTCAGAGACGAATGGCTTAAAAATGTAGCTCCAGAGAGGCCAAACCCGAGGAAGAGCCCATCATTGTACCCGAGAGGGCAGCAGGGATGGCCCCACCCCACGGCAGCGCCCTCTGCCTGCAGTCCAACCTTTCCACACACTCCAAGCTGTGCCCAAGGATACACAGCAGCCCCAGGCTGGAAGGACAAAGCCCAGTAGCAATGTAGTTAGTGGCTGTTCTGTAGTGCAGTCCTAACACCTGGCTGGGGAAGGCCCTGGGAAGGGCACCACACACCTCCATCTTGTTCTGGATCCAGGGCCCGATGGCATTGGCCTGGGCAGCAAACTGGCGCCGCAGGCGCTCGTTAGCGTGCTGGCGAGCCAGCTCCTCCTGCAGAGACTGATCCCAGACAGGCACCAGCTGCTTCACCTGTTGGGGCCCAAGGACAGCAGGGTGAGAAGCCAGCTCTGGTCTCATTGGAACGACCCCAGGATGAGCTCACCAGCAGATACTAGGCTGCTGGGGTTTGGGGAGGGAGGGAAAAAGGGAAGAGGGCTGGGGGGATGGAGAGGGAACCACCAAGGCCTCTCCTAAAGACCACGTGCACTCAGATCTTCAAAGGTCCCTAGGCTGCTGTTAGATCTTCTAAATGTGTTTGTTCACAAGGCTGCAGGGGCACAAACCTGACTATATCCCAGCTACTGAGCCTATCCCCAGCCCTTTCTTCCACTTTTTGAGATAAGGCCATGGATTGCGTTGAACTTACTCTCTGTCCCAGGCTGTGCTGGACAGCTTTAGTGTCAACTTGACACACCTGGGTTGAGGGAGCCTCAACTGGGGAATTGCCTCCATTGGACTGGCCTGTGGCCATGTCTGAGGGTCATCTTCTTGATGAGTGATGTGGCAGGGCCCAGCCCACTGTGGATAGTGCCACCCCTGGGCAGGTGGGCCTATGTTGTATAAGAAAGCAGGCTGAGCAGGGGCCAAGGGAACAAGCCAATAAGCAGCATTCCTCCATGGCCTGTGCTCCAGTTCCTGCTTCCAGGTTCCTGCCCTGAGTTCCTACTTTGGGCTCCCTGATGAACTGCGACCTGGGAGTTGTAAGCTAAATAAACCCTTTCCTATCCAAGTTGGTAGTCGTCAGAGTATTTTGTCACAGCAATGAAGAAAAAACCAGAACACCACTTATGGTGCCCCCATTTTCCCCCTTTCTCCCTTAATAATATGCTTCTCCTATGGTCCTACCTCTCTTGAGCTCCTTCTTTCCCTTTATCCCCTAGGTTCCTTGTATACCCTTCCCTCCCCACTCCCTATGCAGGACTGAACTCAGGGCCCAGGCTTGTACAGCACGTGCCTTTACCCACTGGGCCATCTTGTAGGCCAAGGTTTTAACATGCCTCCCTGATAGTATTAACATCATAACTTGTACTGATTATGCCAAAGTTTACAATATTTTCCTTAAGGGAAATGGCCTCTACTTTCTTTCCCCACAAACCACAGAAGGTGCTGAACAGCACTGAAAATTTAACCCATTTCACCTGTAAAATTGGAAAGAAAGGAAAGTTCTAATGGTGATGCTCAGTCAGCTCATCCTGAGTCCCCAAGTGCTCCTTCTTCCCCAACTCATTTTCTAAGATGCCACCCCTCACCCCACACCCAGCCCATGGCCACCCACCTGCCTCACCCTCACCCCACACCCAGCCCATGGTCACCCACCCTGTCTCACCCTCACCCCACACCCAGTCCACGGCCGCCCACCTTTTCCCATTTGTTGCGGAGCTCATCCATGGTGACGGTGCTGTATGGGTTGCTAGAGCTGATCCGGATGTTATAACTCTGGATCACCTTCTCCACCTCGTTCTGGATGGCCAGAATGGACTGCCGCTCCCCATCGGCCTCAGGCAGTGTGGCCTTGAACTGCTCGTGTGCAGTGATCAGGCTCTAGGCCAGAGCACAGAGGAGAGAACCAACCTGACATTAGTATCCACTGCTTCCTTCTTTAGGTGAGACAGGGTCTCCTGTGGCCCAGACTGGCCTTGAACCTACTATGTAGCTAAGCATGACCCTAAACACCTGATCCTTCTGTCTTTATCTCCCAGGTGCTGGGATCACAGGTGTGCACCACCACGCCCAGACTTCTAGAGTCAACTTTGTGTTTGTGGATGCCTGTGTGTGGAGGCTAGAGGCCCACATTGTTTTACTACACAGGTTTCCCACTGGCCTGGGGCTCTCTAATTAGGCTAGTCTGGCCAGTTAGTCCCAGGGACCCACCTGTCTCCACTTCCCCAGCACTGGGATTACAAGCACACACCACCAGGCCCAGCTTTTTTTTTAAAATGTGGATTTGGGGGATCACACTCATGTCCTGGTGCTTACAAGGTTATTATTTGACCAACTGAGTTATCTCCTCGGCCCTCATGACATATTAATTTTATAGGAAAAAGAATTACAAAAGTAGTTTTTCTTTATATTCTATTATATATTAAATTTACCATATATAGGTTCTGAACCAACTGGGTACTGGAGACCTGACAGATGCTCTTCTCCATGACATCACCAAAAACAAGTCTTATTTGCAGAGCTATTTGAATGACCATGAGAAATTTATAAGTAGGACACCTTAGGAAGCAGAAGGTGATGTTTGGGAGGGTTCTTTGGTGTGTGTGTGTGTGTGTGTGTATGGGGTACAAGTGCACATGTGTGCACATGGAGGCCGGGGTTCAGCGTCAGGTGTCTTTCTTGATTGCACTCCACCTCATTTTTCTGAGACAGGGTCTCTCACTGAACCTGGAGCTTCCTGTTTTCGGCTAGGCTGGCCAGCCAGTGAGCACATGGGATCCACCTGTCTCTGCCCTCAAAGTGCTGGGGTTACAGGTATGCAACCCCACACACAACTTTGAGGGGAGTGCTAAGGATCGGAACCAAGGTCCTCTTGCTCGGAGCCACCTCCCCACCTCCCTGTTTTGTGGTTTCTTATGTTTTATGATCAGGCAAATTCTATAGATGTCATGTTGGCATGGTGGCGCACACCTTTAATCCCAGCAGAGGCAGAGACAGATGGACTTCTGTGAGACTGAAGCCAGTCCGGTTTAGAGAGCTCCAGGCCAGCTGGGGCTGGATCTATAGATATCAGTCAGCAGGTAGTACTTAGTTTACCCATGAGTAGATTTGTAACGTCCCATGAAGAACTCCAAGAGGACAGATGGACAGATGTCTAGGTTGCTCAGTGGTTAGCATTAGTTTTGAAAGAACAGCTCCATTTTAGAAGATCCACCATTATTTTTAATTAATTTCATCAGGATCCACCACTATTTTTAATTAATTTCATCACAGCAAAGAGCACTAATTAATTTCATCACAGCAAAGAGCACCAAACATATTTCATATATATTAAAATTTTATTTATTTTTATGTGTATAGTGTTATGCCTGCACACATGTGTAAGTGCACCCATGTTATGAAATGCCTGCAGAGACCAGAAGAGGGCACTGGATCACTTGGAACTGGAACTACAAACAGTTGTTAGCTACCATGTGGGTGCTGGTAATCAAACCCGGGTCCGCTGTGAGAGCAGCCAGTGCTCTTAATTCCTGAGCCATCTCTCCAGCCCCCAACTTACATATAGATTTAAAACAAAGTAAAGATGATAGAACTCAATTTTCAAATGGCACTCTCTAGTACATTAGGAGTACCATGTTAAAGCCACGTCAACTACAGCAGTGTTCACAACAGCCATGCTTGAGAATCATCCCAGGTATCCATAAACAGATGACTAGATAGAGAAATATGGTATATACACACAGTGGAGTTTTATTTAGCCATAAGGAAGAGTGAAATTATGTCATTACAGGCAAATGGATGCAACTGAGCTCAACATATTAACTAAGCCAGACCCAGAAAGACAACTATTTCATGTTTCCTCATATATGTAGAATCTAGGTTTTAATTTTATTTTTTGTGTGTATATGTGTGATATGTGTGTATGAATGCTGACACAGCACACGTGTGTAAGTCAGGAGTCAGCTTTCTTCCTCCACAAAGTAGGTTACGGGGATCAAACTCAGGTTGTCAGGCTTGGTAGCCAAGTGCCCTTATCTGCTGCCATCTTGCTTTCCCCAAATCTAGGTTTTATACGCATGAAGACACACACACACACACACACACACACACACACAGAGGGGGGGCTATCTGATAAGAGAGAAGAGATTTGCAGCAGTGGAGACAGGAGAGTGTAATAGGAGTGAATGTGGCTGGAGTACATGATATACTTGAACAAAAGTGTTAATAGGAAGCTCGTTGCTTTATACAAGGAATTTACACTAGTAAGAAGCCCAAATATAAAAGGAACAGCCACGTGGAGCCCTAGTACCTGGATCTCCTCAATGCTGTGGACGATGAACATGTCCTGCAGGTCCTCCATGGCACCCTCCATCCAGTTGTTGAAGGGGGCAGCTCTCTTGGCAAACTCCAGGTGCAGCTGGTCAATGGTTTCCAGCAATTTCTCAGTCCTCTGGAGATGAAGTAGAAAGAAGCCTTACCACAGACTGGAACACATTTTTTCAAATTTTTTGATTTATTTATTTTTATTTTATGTGTACGAGTGTTATGCCCCCATGTGTGTTAAGTTCGACCAGGGTTGTGCAATGCCTGCAGAGGACAGAAGAGGCTGTTGGATCCCCTGGAACTGGAGTTACAGACAGTTGTTAGCTGCCATGTGGGTGCTGGGATTCGAACGTGGATCTTCTTCTGCAAGAAGAGCCAGTGCTCTGAACCGCTGAGCCATCTCTGGCCCATGGAACACAATTTTTTTTTTTAAATCCTATGATGAGCACACACATGTAAATGTGCAGCCCAGATCAACAGTGTGACTTGACACTTAGACTAGCAGATGCTCAAATGATGGCAGGCCTTGAGGTCTCTAAGGGGCCATCTGTGTTTTAATTGTTTGGTTTTGGTGCTGGGGATGAAACCCAGGGCCTCAACAGCAGTAGATAGGTGTTCTACCACCAAGCTTATTGACTGAGAGACCTTCTGAATCAAAGAAGGATTTAAGAAGATCCAGAGCAGCCTTGGTGTTTTTGTTTTTGTCTTTTTTTTTTTTTTTTTTTTTTTAGACAGGGGCCCCCTGTTCCCCTTGCTGGCCTTGAACTCACAGAGATCCGCCTACCTCTGCCTCCCAAGTGCTGCCCTACATCCAGCTCAACAGCCTTGTTTTTAAAGTACCTCAAGTTCTCTACTGCACATACTTATCAGAAAGCTGAAAACTCAAACGCATAGACTACAGCTTGCTTTCACCAAAGCAGGAATTTATTACTATATTTCTGACACAAGGTGACCTTGAATTTCTGACCCTCCCGACTCTACCTCCTGATGCTTTGATTACAATCACTGGCTACCACCCCCAGTTGGATGTGGTTCTGGGAATCAAAGCCATGCCCTCAGCATGCCAGGCAAGCACTTTACTGAGTGAGCTCCCACAAGCCTTGCTCTCCAGTATTTTTTTTCCTTCCATACCTGTTGCCATTTTCCATGTACACATTTCAAACCTGGCCCTTACCAAATCTTGAGTCAGATAGCTATAGGTACAGAAGGATTTGGGGGAATTTGCTGGGATTACCACTTAAAAGACAGAGCTTGGACATTATACAGTTGAAAAGTATGTTTCAGTCTGCTGACAGGATAAATTACGGTGCAAGCTACCAGTCACCCTGTGTTCCTGTCCCTCATGTCTCACATACTCTATAAGGCCACATTCACTAGATACTGTTTCATTTCTCCACTGGACATCACAAAGGAGCACAATTAACAACGCTGACTTAGTTACAGGGCCCCTATTAGGAGATTTCACATCAACAGATGGCTTCAAGGCTTTTACCTCCAAGGCCTCCCTCCTCTTCTGAGTAAGTGTCCCCAATCTGTCCCACTGGTCACAAATCTTCTGGCACCGATCGTTGACATTCACAGCATCATGATAGTCCAGTTCACTGTAAAAAGCAAGCGATAACGGTGAATTCTCCCAGGTGATATAGGGAAAATACACAGGGACTCGAAATGGACAGGGAAGGGAAGGTCTGTGTGTGCATGTGCAGATGTGTACACATGCATGTGGAGGTCAGAAGTCAAGCTGAGGTTATCTTGATTAGTTGCTATCCCACTTCTTTTTTTGGATATGGAGTCTCAATGGCCAAGCAGTCACACGATTCAGCCAGGCTACTTGACTAGTGAGCCCCAGGGATCTATCCATCTCTCTTCCCCAGAAATGAGATTATCATGCCTGTTTTTTTTTTTAAGATTTATTTTTATTTATGTGTGTGTATGTGTACATAAGTATGTGTATATGCTTGGGGAAGCTAGAAGAGGGTATCAGAGCCCTTAGAACAGGAGTTATAGACAGTTGTGAGCTGCCCAATGTGGGTGCTGGGAACTGAACTTAGATGTTCTGGAACAGCAGAAATTACTCTTAACTGTGAGTCATCTTTCCAGGGCCCATACCCAATTTTCCAACCTGGGTTCTGGGGATCCCATTCAAATCCTTATGCATACATAGCTAGCAATGACAGCCGTCTCCCAGGGTTGTATATCTCCCAGCTCCACTCCTTTTCCTATTTTTTTTTTAAGACCTAATAGTAAACTGGTAGGGGGCCCATGGCTCGGGAGTTAAAGGCATTTGCCACCAAGTCTGACAATCTGAGTTCAAGGCTGGGGACCCATATGGTAGAAGGAGAGAACTGCCTCCTACAGGCTGTCTTTTGACCCAGAAACATGGATCCCAAGGTCTCACTAGCCAGCCAGCCCAGCTGAACCAGGCTAGCCCCTGACCGTTGAGAAACTCTATCTCAAAACAAATAAAGGGGCTGAAGAGCTGGCTCAGAGGTTAAGAACACTGGCTATTCTTGCAGAAGACACGGGTTCGAATACCAGCACCCACATGGCAGCTAACAACTGTCTGTAACTCCAGTTCCAGGGGATCTGACAGCCTCTTCTGCCCCCCTCGGGCATTGCACAACACGGGTGCACTTACCTACACGCAGGCAATACACGCATACACATAAAATAAAAATAATGAATAAAAAATATTTTAAAAAAATAAAGAAGTGAGAAGAACAACAAAATCCAAGGTAGCCAGTAACTTATAAGAAACCCAAGGTTGACCTCTGTCCTTTACACGTGCATGCACATGTGTGTATACTCAGGACACACACACACATGCACTAAAATTAAAATGTTAAAGAAAACTGGTACAGTATTTCAGGGTTTTGTAATATGTCAGTGATTATAATGAAAGGGGGAGAAGCAAACGAAGATCTGCACTTATACAGAGAGGGGGAGGGAGGGCTGGAGAGACAGCTCAGTGGGTAAGAGCACTGGCTGCTCTTGCAGAGGACCCAGGTTCAGTT